CTGAAGAAGCAGTACGTGACTTCGCCATTCACGAAAGGACATGAGTAAAGGTTTCAATTTAATAGTGAGAGAACAAAACTGCACGACAGAGAAGAATAGAAGTGAAACTTTTCCTTACTCTATAGCCTCTGGGGGATAAATACAGACGTGTCCGTACCGATCCCTCAGACTCTACTAAGCTTGTCCGTGAATTGTGAGACCTATGTAACCTAGAGCTCTGATACCAACTTGTCACGATCCGGATTTCCCATCTTATGGAGTCGTGATGGCGCCTACACATGAAAGCTAGGCAAGCCGAGTGTTATTAATTCATTACCCTTTTTATTAAGCATGTTCAACAATTTATAATAAAAAGTGATTAAATAGCGGAATAAATTAAGTAAGCAGAATGCGGAAGTGCAAAAACTTAATAATTCAACCAAATACTGCTACATAATCTGAAGTACTTTACTACCCAGAATTTTGTGTCACAAGTCACGGACTATCTAAGAATACTACAAATAAGGTCTGAATGGAAGTACATAAGTTTGTCTCTGAATAAGTAAAAACAGAAAGAGAAAAGATAGGAGGAGATGCCAAGGACCGCAGACGTCTGCAGGACTACCTCGGGTCGCCTGAGTGGACTGAAGACAGCACCCTCACTGTGGTCCAAACACTCCGGTATCAGTATCTGCACATAGAGCAGAGTGTAGTATTAGTACAACCGACCCCATATGCTGGTAAGTGCCTAGCCTAACCTCGGCGAAGTAGTGACGAGGCGAAGACCAGACTACCAAATAAACCTGTGCAGTTAAATCATATACATCGGAAATAGAAGCACATAATTACAACTAAAGTTGGGCAGCGGAAATATGCTGCGGGGAGTAGCAGGTAACAATAGAATAATAGTAGAGAAATGTAAGGAACGCCATAAATCAAATACCAGCAAAAGATAAGGAAATAATAATGAAGTACACATGTAACACCGTTGCAGGCGTGCAACCCGATCCCAAATCACATAGTACCGTTGCAGGCGTGCAACCCGCTCCCATTTCATATAATACCATTGCAAGTGAGCAACCCGCTCCCATTTCATATATTACCGTTGCAGGCATGCAACCCGCTCCCATTTCATATGTTACCGTCGAAGGCGTGTAACCCGCTCCCATTTCATATAGTAGCGTTGCAGGCTTGTAACCCGCTCCCATATCATATAGTACCGTTGCAGGCGTGCAACCCGCTCCCATTTCATATAGTACTGTTGCAGCGTGCAACCCACTCCCTTTTCATTTATCAATACTAATCATAAAAGAATCCCGGCAAGGGAACAATAATTTAACAAGAACATCCCGGCAAGGGAACAATACTATAACAACAACATCCTGGCAAGAAAACAATAATATGACAACAACATCCCGGCAAGGGAACAATAATATGACTACAACATCCCGGCAAGGGAACAATAATATGACTACAACATCCCGACAAGGGAACAATAATGATAATCCTCAAATGAAATACAATAAACCACAACGGAGTTACAACAATTACAATACAAGACTCACAGGCATGCTTGACACCAACGTATAGATACTCGTCTACATGCCTATACGTCGTGCTCCACAATTAGCACATAGCAAATAAGACCCAACTACTAATCCCTCAAGCTAAGGTTAGACCAAACACTTACCTCGAACTTCCAAGGTCAACTCAAGCCTCAAACACCGCTTTTCCTTTAGAACTCACCTCCAAATAACTCGTATCTAGTCCAAATTGATTTAACAACATCAATAAATGCTAAAGAATTCATACTCAATGCTTAATTATAGGTTTTCTATCATTTTCCCCAAAAGGTCAAAAATGGACCCCAGGCCCGCTTGGTCAAAACATGAGATTCAGACCAAAATCCGATCACCCATTCACCCACGAGCCTGAATATGCAATTAATTTTAAAATTCGACCCCAAAATGACGTATAAATTCCAATTATTCAAAAAGCCCTAACTCTACCCAAATCCCCAATTTTTACCATGAAAACCCTTTATTTTTGATTTAAAAGTGATGAAAAACAGTAAGGAATTGAAAGAATAAAGTTTCGAATTGATTACCTATGACTTGGGGATGATTATTATTGAAGAAAATCGTTCTTAGGGCTGTAAACCTCGAAAATATGGTGAAGAAGAAGGTCTGCCCGTTTTTTAAAGAGTATTTATATTAGCTGCGCAACAGATCTATGCATTCGAACTCAAAAGCATGTGTTCGCATAGGGTAAGGGAAACTAGGTATTGCGATCGGGGGACAGGGTATGCGTTCGCATAGAGGGAAAATGGTGACCCGCAGAATTAACTCTATGCTATTGCGGACCTATCTATGCAATCGCATAGGACAAATGATGACTCCCATAATTAACTCTATGCTATCACGGACCTATCTATGCAATCACATAGAAAAAATGATGACTCCCAGAATTAACTCTATGCTATTTCGGACCTATATATGCAATCGCATAGAACAAAAACCTAGACACCAGCAAACAACAAAAACAGTAGATTTTCTAAGTTCCAATCACCCCGACGCCTATCGGAAACTCACCCGAGCCCTCGGGGCTCTAAACCAAACATGCACGCAAGTCTAAAAATATCATATGGTCTTGCTCATGTGATCAAATTGCCAAAATAATATCTTAAACAACGAATTTAGCATAGAAATCTAAGAAAATCTCAAAACTTTCAAAGTATCAAATTTCACATGTACTGGTCCGAATCACATCAAACGACTTCCGTTTCTTACCAAATTTCACAGACGCATCTTAAATTTCATATTGAACCTGTACCAGGCTCCGGAACTAAAATACGGGCCCGATATCATAAATTTCAAATATAATCAAATTTCCAAAAACTCTTATATTTTCAGTAAAATCATTTCTTTCAAAAATTCTTTTCTCGGGCTTGGGACCTCGGAATTCAATTTTGGGCATACGCCCAAGTCCCATATTTTCCTACGGACCCTCCGGGACCGTCAAATCACAGGTCCGGATCCGTTTACCTAAAATGTTGACCGAAGTCAACTTAAATTCAATTTTAAAGGCCAAATTAACATTTTCATTACATTTCCACATAAATGCATTCTAGATATATGCCCGAACTGTGCACGTAAATCAAGGTAAGGAAAAGGAGGTTTCTAAGGCCTCGGGATACAGAATTTATTTGTAAATCAAGTGATGACCTTTTTGGGTCATCACACTAGGCTTAGCACTTTGTAACCGTTTGTCCCAAAAGGATAGCCCACAAAAATATGAGGAGTGGTTCTGGGTTCAAATTTGTCTCTATGCACCTTAGGTACAGTAGGATAACAGAGGCATCCAAAGCTCCTCAAATGAGAGTAGTTGGGTTTCTTGTGATATAAAATTTCAAAAGGACACTTGTTGTTCAAGTAGGTAGTAGGTAGTCTGTTAATCAGGTAAGTTGCTGTCAAAATGCATTCTCCCCAATAGTTAGTTGGAAGTTTGGATTGAAACATAAGTGCCCTAGTAGCTTCAAGAAGATATTTGTTTTTTCTTTTCTACTACTCCATTTTGTTGTGGAGTATAAGGACAAGTTTTCTGGTGAATAATTCCTTTAGTTTGATAGAAGGAGGTGGCTTCATGACTGGTAAACTCCAGTCCATTATCAGATCTGATAGTTTTTACAGTGGTGTTGAATTGGTTCTCAATCATATTTATGAAAGCTTTAAGAGTTTGTAGGGAATTGCTTTTGTTGCTTAACAAATGAGTCCAAGTGGACCTACTGAAATCATCCACCAAGGTAAGAAAATATTTGTAATTATTGTGTGTAGCAACATGGTAGGGGGACCATATGTCAACATGTATCAATTGGAAAATATGGGTAGAGGTGCTAGTTCTTCGTGGAAATGGAAGTGTGGCATGTCTAGACATGGGACAAATGGACTAAATGAAAGGTTGTTTGGGTGAGAAGTTCCCAGGTATTAAGGATAATTTTCTCATTTTGACAAAGAAAACATGGCCAAGCCTATTATGCCACAAAATGTCTACATCATGTTTGTCTAATACATTCAGAGAGTCACTCTTATTATTGTGAATGGAAGTATTTAAATCTGTTGAATAAGGCTGTGAATGAAGAGGACTACTAAAGACTCTACTATTTGTACCAGCAGAAACAAAACAACTGCAATAAGAAATTTGAAGACTAGTATATGAAACAGTACTTTTACGTTTTAGACACCTGGAACAGAGGTAGTATAATCCCTCTCTGCTACTACCAATCATCTGAGGCTTCTTCACTAAAGGGGCATGCAACATACATAGTGTATCAATGAAAAGTACAATACACTTGAGATGTGTTGCAAGAGAATTGACAGAAATTAGGTTGTACTTAAAGGATAGAACATAAAAGACTTTGTGTAGAGTAATTTCAGAATTGAGTATCACATCCCCAAATTGAAGCACTTTCACCTTGTATCCATTTGGTAGGCTTATTAACACAGAGGTATGGTAATGTTGTTATGTAACTAAGAGCAGTTTTATTCAAAGTCATGTGATTAGAGGCTCCTGAGTCTATGATCTAAAAGTCAGTCTTAGATTCGAAACATTTGCATGATGGTTTGTCAAAATTAATATAAGAAGTGTAGACCACAATACCTGCAAAGTTAACAACACCACTGGTGATATTGGCATTGCTGGGAGATCCTCCTGTCTGAAAATGTTGTAGCAGGTTCATTATCTGCCCATATTGCTCTTTTGTCAAGCTGACATTCTAATTTTCACTGTGTAGGATTGGATCATCTTCCTTTTCCTACATCAGATTAGCTGGGGCTCCATGCACATTTTCCACAGTTCCTTTACCTCTATTGAATTTGTGACCTTGAATTTGACCTGAGTTGTTTCCCTGACTGAAATGTTGAGTGTTAGTGAAATTTGAGTTTTGATTGTTATAAGAATTGTTCTAGGGATATCCATGTAATTTGTAACACTTGTCCTTTGTATGGCCTGGCCTCTTGCAGTAGTCAGAATGGTCGACCCTTGAAATGGCCTGAGTTGGCTGTATAATGTGTTTTGAAATTCCGAGCTCCAAAAGGATTCTGATGTTGTGAAGGCACAGTATTCACATGAAGTAAGGTAGACTCTAGGCTCAGTTGATTGTTTGGTTTGAACTCCCTTTGCTTTTCCTCTTGTACTAACAGAGAAAAGGTCTGCGCCAATGATGGCAGAGGTTTCATAATTAAAATGCTTCCTCGCATTGTTGTGTACACTTCGTTCAAGCCCATCAGAAACTGAATAAGTCGTCTGTCCTGTTCTGCCTTATGCATATTGTCCTTTGACCCATACGTACAAACACAGGTGCACTGAGACTTTGCACTGAGATTGCTCAATTCTTCCCATAGCCTTTTTGTTCGCGTGTAGTAGGCATTAATGTCCAAGGATCCTTGAACGAGATCATTAATTTCTTTTTGAATTTGATACAGCTTTGCACCATTCGTTTGATCATATCGATCTTCCAATTCTCTCCATAACTCTACTGAATCGCTAACATATTCAACACTATCAGAAATTTCCTTTGATAGGGAATTGAGAATCCAGGAAGTTACCATGTCATCACATCTTTCCCATTGACAAAATTGTGTAGATTTGGGAGGAGTCTTCCTATAATCTCCATTTACGAACCCTAATTTGTTTTTGACTGATAGGGCTCTCAATACACTCCTTCTCCATGACCTATACCCAATTCCATAAAAAAGAACTGGTACTAAAGTCACTCCGGGATTATCCGAAGGATGAATGTATAGAGGACTACTTACATCGATGACAGGTTAACCGTTCCTGCTTGTACTGGGGGTGAGTTTTTCGGTCTGATCGATAGCCATGAGAAAAGCTCTAGATGATGAAATTGGCTAGTTTCCTAAGCAAATTGTTGAATAAACTGTACAATCGTGCATAAAATGCCTTTACTTCGCACAAATACTGTAGCTCAAAATCGCGAAAACAAACCCAGCAGATGACAGAGAGAAAGAGGTCTTGAAGAAAAACTATGACAGATCTCCGTCGAGGATATCACGCCGGCTCTGATACCATATTGAGATTCTTAGTTTGAGCTAAGATGAAGCTCGTACAAGAGCTTCAATGAAGGTTCTGGAAAATTAGAAAGAGAGAAGAAAATATATGGGAGGAGAGCAGATGAAATGCAAATGTGAAAAATGACTCTCATTTCATTTCCACTGTTACAACCTGTATATGTATGTACACGTGGAAAAAATAAAAGACAGCTATTACAAGCTAATACAATTAACTTAGCTAACTAAGAGCTAATAACAGTATCTAACTAGCCAATATGTAACAATAACTAAAACTAACTAAACATATCTCAATAGAGGGTCTTCGGGTTAGGGGTAAGATCTACGTACACATTACCCTCCCTAGACCCCACTAGTTGGATTTTACTGGGTTGTTGTTTTTGTTGTATCTTTCATCCAGGTATCATTTTCTAATTTCGGATGCAATAATAATGCAGGATCGATGAGGGTGACACTTAAGGCTTTATGTTGCTTGTCAGTTCTGAAAAATTTTGTTACGTTTATTAGTGGCCCAATAAGTTTAAGGCCCGTAATTAATATTTAATTAATGAGAAAATCTCATCCGTCCGATTGGTTACTTGATGGACGTACCAGATTAAGTGAGAACCTCTATAAATTGGTTATCTCCCCACCCATTAGGGTTACCGTATTTTTATTTCTCTCTTCCATCACTAAAGTCGGCGGTATCGAAAGCTAGGGCAAGGGACGAGAAACCAATCCCAACTAACGCTTCCGCTTCGTTATAATGGCTTATGATTCAGGTATGTTTTCTGTAAAAATTTTATGTAAGATTATCATGTTCAAGATCCTGGTACGAATTAAAGTATCTATGTTTACATGTGATATTAGAGCCGGGATATTTGAACCGATAATTTTCGTGAAAGAGACTAGATTAATTATTATGTGTGTATAACAGCTCCGACGGAATTATCGAATTGCTTCAAAATCGCCGTTACAATATATACTACTTTCGAATCTGATCATGAAATCCCATTATTAACAGTGAGTAACTTACGGCCTAGAATGTTCATTGAACTTTCAAAACGACACCAACAGGTTTATGCTTAGCCAATTTGGAATCTCACACTAGGATTTCACATGAAATCATAAAGAATAAATTAGTTTTGTATACTTAAGCCCACTGTATGCTTCTACAAACTGGAATTTTATCGTTGAAGATTTGTCTAATTTAAGCATTATGCTGTTTTCCTATACTAGATTGAGAAAAGCTTCTTTAAGAAACATGAACTTAGGCCACAGTTATTACATTAATAGTCCGGTCTATTAGACTATTTTGGATATTTAATTCTTGGGCCATAAAATAATATTTTGTGGGCGATTAACTGATAAAGTCACTTATTATTTATCTTAGGTATGTGATTATGCTTATACAGTTTATTAGTCACCAAAGTCAAACTACATTGTTTAAAATATTCAGATGCATAAAATTTCCTGATGCTTATTTTATGTGTGCATTTATATGTTTATATAGTTTGTTAGTCACCAAAGTGGTCAAACTAGTATGTTCATGAAAAATATGCATACATAAAATTATAATTTATTCATAAAATTAATGAAATGCCAATAATTAAAAATTAGTGGATAAATTAATTTTCACTATTGCTAGGACTTAATGATTTACCCAAAGTGAATCAATTATTCTATGAATAGTGAATAGATGAGGTAAAATTAATATTCTTTAGTCAAAAATATATTGTCTGTCCAAAGATGCATATATATATTTGGTTAAAAATATTTAATTACCTATTAAAGACTAAATGACATTTAAATTATGATAGTGTGTCGTAGTATTTACCCAAAGGAGAATTGCGATATACTTTTATTGTTTTACTGAATCCATATTGATTTGTGAGCATGTATTATCTATTTTGCAGTTATTCCGCTTCGTTCGCATACTTCGTCTGTTACTGTGTTCAATGGATTGAACTTCTCTGAATGGCATGAACAAGTCCAATTCTGCTTAGATGTAATGGATCTTGACTTGGCTCTGCTGAATGATAAGCTCGTTCCATTAATGATACGGGCAATGCAGATGAGAAGCCTTTCCATAAAGTATGGGAATGCTTTAACATGCTGAGCATTATGTTTATACAAATGAGTATTGCCAGCAACATTAAGAGTACTATTCCACAAATAGAAAGTGTCAGGGAATACCTGAAGTTTGTGGAAGAACGTTTTCGTTCTACAGATAAGTCTCTCGCTGGTACACTAATGGCTGAACTCACGACCATGAAGTTTGATGGGTCGTGTAGTATGCAAAACCATATAATCGAGATGACAAACATTGCAACAAGACTTCAGACCTTGGGGATGAAAGTTGATGACTCCTTATTGGTTCAGTTTATTCTGAACTCGTTGCCTCCTAAGTATAGAACTTTTCAAATTAACTATAACACTATTAATGATAAGTGAAATGTTAGTGAATTGTCCAGTATGCTTGCTCAGGAGGAGTCAAGACTTAAGAAACAAGGGAGTCATTCAATTAACCTCATGGGTCAAGGAGCTGGTAAATGACTTAAAGTGAAGGCCAACAAGTTCAAGAAGAAGAAAGCACATGCTAAAGCACCATAGGATGCTAACAAGGAACATAAGGTAGATGTCACGATCCAAAATCCGTTAAAGGTCGTGATGGCGCCGGACACCACTGTCAGGCAAGCCAACACTAAATACTTAATTAAATCCTCATTTTTATATTTTTGAGATCATAAATTTCCTTCAACTTAACTAGTAAAAGATGAACTTTACATAATAATAGTAATAATAATAATAATAATAATAATAATAATAATAATAATAATAATAATAATAATAATAATAATAATAATAATATTTTCTAATTTCAATACTGAATATTCCATAATCATCCCAGAATTTGGTGGCACAAGTGCATGAGCATTTATTAGGAATTAAAATAAAATGCAATAACTGTTCAGAATATAAATTTGGACAGAAAAGAAACCAGTCACATAACATAACACGGACCTCCTCGAGGCCTCAAAATACATCAAACAACATCAAATGAATTGCACCCCAATTCAAGCTTAATGAACTTTAGAACTTCCAACTTCCACATTCGATGCCGAAACCTATCAAATCACGTTCGATTGACCTCAAATTTTGCACACAAGTCACATTTGACATTACAGACCTACTCCAACTTCCGGAATCTAAATCCAACCCCGATATCAAAAATTCCACTTCCGGTCAACTCCTCAAAAACCTTCAAATTTCTAACTTTCGCCAAATGACCCCAAAATGGCCTACAGACCTTCGGATGCGCTCCTAACACCAGAATCACCATACGAAGCTATTCCCGAACTCGGAATCCCTAACGGACATCGATAACATTGAAATGCACTTCAACCCAAATTTATGAAATTCTTCCAAAATGCTAACTTCCACAATAGGTGCCGAAATGCTCCCGGTTCATCCAAAACCTGATCCGGACATACACCCAAGTTCAAAATTATCATACGAATATGTTGGAACCTTCAAATCCCGATTCTGAGGTTGTTTACTCAAAATCCAATCTTAGTCAGAATCTTCCAACTTAAGCTTCCGAAATGAGAATTCTCTTTTCAACTCAACTCCGAACTTCACGAATTTCAATTCCGACCACGCAAACAAGTCGTAATACGTGAAGTGTAGCTACTCGTGGCCTCAAACTGCCAAACGACGTGCTAGATCTCAAAATGACCGGTCGGGTCGTTACATTCTCTCCCACTTAAACATATGTTCGTCCTCAAACATGCTAAGGACTGCTCTAGAGTTGTCTGAAATCACTGTTTAACACCTCGCACATACCCGCGCTATCACAACTTAGTTGAGCATATTAGCTCGAGCTAATAAGAAGATATTCCCTTATACTCATCCAAATGGGCTTTAGAGCTCAATTCCAACATCCAGAATTCTCTGTCAGGCCCGCTTCCATCATACAAACACCGTGTCAATCTCTATGCGATGCACCAATACATGATTGCATACCTTTGCTGAATCCACACTATGCACTGCATAACTTACATGACCATAATAACATCCTCTGATAACAATAGCAAAAATTTCACGAATCTGATGCTCGCAACACACCTCATGACATATATAAGTCTTGTTTCAACTCTGGCAATACTGCCACGACGGAAGAGATATGTACAAATTCATGACCAACTGCTGAGTCAATAATTCATTGAGTTCCTTCTCTTGACAAGATCTATTGCCTCATTATGAACCAAATAACTATATTTGCTCTTTAATCTACTTCGTGTAATCCGATCGCACTGATCCCAAGTCCCATAATCTTGCCTTACCTAGTACAAGCTGCTCAGGCAATAAGCTGCCTCAGACATTGCCAAAAGTTTCATAGGATTTCGCAATGTGCCAACACGCAACCAACTCGAATATGATACATAAGGAAAACGAACTCCGGAAAGGACTACTCAACCCATGTAACTAATTAGACAATCGAAAAGGTGTTATGAACCTTCCTTAGAAAATGGGAAACA